TAAAGTTGCTACAGTACTTTCATTGTGCTGCAAGAGAGTATCTTGGCTAATGCCCTGAAAAATGCTAAATATTTCAATCCTAATTAGATTTACTTTGATTTAGAAGTAAACCGCATGGCATTAATTATAGTCAGGCAAGTTGGCATCATTTACAACCTAAGTAGCCACTGAACCAAACACAGTTGGGTTTCCCATGTAAGAAATGTTAACATTTATTTCATTAAAGTCAGTGTCTGACACAGATAAAGCCTTTAACAGATTGAACAGGTAATCAGAGTTGGAAGGGACCTTGTAGGTCATTTAGTCCAACCCCCCGCCCGAGCCCCCACACCATTTCTGACAAATGACAGTCGAATCTCTTCTTGAAAGTCTCAAGTGATGGCGCTCCCACAACTTCCGAGGGCAAGCTGTTCCATTGGTTGATTGTTCTCACTGTCAGAAAGTTTCTCCTTATTTCCAGGTTAAATCTCTCCTTGTTCAGTTTCCATCCATTATTCCTTGTCTGGCCTACAGGCGCTTTAGAAAATAGCTTGACCCCTTCCTCCCTGTGGCAGCCCCTCAAATATTGGAAGACCGCTATCATGTCTCCCCTGGTCCTTCTCTTTACTAGACTAGCCATGCCCAGTTCCTGTAACCGTTCTTCATATGTTTTAGTCTCCAGTCCCCTAATCATCCTGGTTGCTCTTCTCTGTACTTTTTCTAGAGTCTCAACATCTTTTTTATACTGTGGTGAACAAAACTGGATGCAGTACTCTAGGTGTGGTCTTACTAAGGCTTTATAGAGTGGTATTAGTACTTCCCTTGATCTTGTCACTACCCTGCATTGTATTACTTAGATAAGCGTGTAAAATTTGGCTGGAGCCTCACTTTTGAGGCAAAAGAAATAGGGGATTCTGGACCTCTATGAATTTTTCACTGCTTAATATATATAATAGTCCTAATACTTTGGAACTTTGGCATAGTAATAATCATAGCTCAGATTCCCACACTTAGAGAAACTTTCTTTTATCTAGCATCAATATACTGTAGAATCAACTGTTATAGGAAAAAACTGTATTTTTTCTGTTTCCTATTTTTTGCATAGAAAAACGTTATAAAATAAAAGCAAAAACACCTGCATGTTCTTATCATTGCAAAAGCAAATTTAAGAGCATAGAAAGCTGCTTACCCTTCAGCATGGAAAATGTTGGTACAGTACATTATTTTTTTTTATTCTGGAGTATCAAACTACTGTTTCATGAATTATTAAGAGTTACAAACATATTCAATTTTGTTTATATACTAGCATGGTGGAATGTATGTGAAACGAAGTGCCAGATTTAATGAAAAGAAAATGAGGAACAAGTTGCATATGCAGATGAAAACAAAAACTCCAGTAAGCTTCTCTATTTCCACTTTGTACAGTATACAAGTTCTCCCCTCCCTCCCCCCGCCTTCCCTCCCCCTCCCTCTGCATGTGTGTGTGCATGCATATGTTTATGATATCAGGTGACACAAAAGTAAACTTCAGGAGTCAAATCATTTTTTTCAGAATCGAATGCTGGTTTATACTTTCCTTCTAAGAAGTGAGGGAACTGTTTTAAGCAGTTCTCTTTGTTTTGTTACTGGAAGGATAAAACATCTGTACCTTCCAGGAAAAGTCCCTGGCATTTGTTTACATAGAAAAATTAGGCTGAAGAAACTCAGTTTTTAAAAAAGCCTGTTAATTCTATTGAGGGGTCATATATATCTCTTTTAAACAACCCTAAGCAATAGGATAGGTAGTCCTTGACTTACAACCACAGATGAGACCAAAATTTTGGCTGCTAAATGTTGCAGTCTTTAAGCAAGCCATCACATGATCAGACCCAATTTTATGACCATTTTACTGCTATTAAGTGAATCGCATGATTTGTTAAGCAAATCCAGCTTCCCCAATTGTCACAAATGGCAAGATGCTGCAACCGTCATAAATGTGAGCCAGTTGCCAAGTGCCCAAATAGTGATAATGTGACTGTGAGGACGGTATGCTGATTGCAACTTAAAGGATGCTCTGTAGGTTACTTTTCCTGAGAAGTTGTAACTTTGAACCATCACTAAACAAACAGTTATAAGCCAAGGACTACTTATAGTGGCAAAATATTAATGTAAGTTTATATTGATAAAAAATTAACTTCATGACTAATGCATTGTTGTATTAGAGTATTTGTATTATTAAACAGCAAAGAGAATAAGAAAGACATTAAAGAAACAAAAAGAAAATAGTTTCAATTCAGCCTTATTGTCCAAATAATTCATTATGGGGTGCTAATGTTAAATGAATTGAGTTTTGCTTTAGCTCAGCAAGCCTGGGTGAGCTCTGCATTCTTTCACAAATTACATTTGTGAGAACTGATAGAAGCACAAAGTAATTGAGTTATGATGCAGGGCTGGAAGAAAACTAAGACTTTTGACTGGAGCAACCTCATAGAAGTAGGTCTTACAACTTGTTTGTAATTCAGTTCTCAGTCTTGAGGCTGAACTGTTTTACTTAATAAAACCATTTGTACACATGGACACATACACTTATATATATATTTAATTCCACAGATGTACTTTGTGATTTTCCCAGAAGGAACACGTTACGATCCAGAGCTGCCCAAAGTCATTGCAGATAGTCAGGCATATGCTGATAAGGAAGGTAAGAGAAACAAAGTGGATTTGAGATGAAAAGACAAGCATGACAGACTTCCATTTATTTAAACTAGTCCCTTTTAGTTTATTTTACTTTCTACCTATTGGTAAAATAAGTCCCATATCATGTAATATTCAGATTCTTCTTTTTCTTTGATTTCTAATGTTAATGTATTCATTTCTGCACATTCAAATATTTTTTCAATTATTTTTCCCTCTATCAGTATCTTGTCACTTTTCCAGTTTTGAGCAAATACAATTCTAGCTGCTGTTAATACATGTATAATTAAGTAGATTCTTTTCTTTACTATAACCTTCAGGTACCATTCCTAATAATGATTTAGGTCCATAGGACCACCGTCTCTTGGGATTTCGGCATCCTCCTTAGGGACACCTAAGGATTCTGCCGTACTGCCGCGATGTCAGCTCTGCCCTCCTTCCCAAATGTTTTTAAAGGCCCAACTTATGATAGGGGTAGTGCAGTTGCCCTGATTCTGATACCATTGATCAATGGCATTGCTTATTTATGTCAAGCTAAAAGCAGTTCTGTAGCAATATCACTATTAACAGTGTGAATTTGAATAATGAGACCATTTCATAGGATTCATTAACTGCACTAATCAAGACCTACCTGTATTCCTAAACTTATCACTCTTGACAGTTGGAAAATTTTTGGGGGCTAAGACTGAGAGATCATCTCCAATTTACTCTGCTTACACCTTCCAGCCTATCTCTTTTCAAGTCTTCCAGAATTTCAGCTGGGAGGAGGTGCCCTGCCTTGCCATTTTGAGAGACAATACCCAATCAGGACACTGGTGTCATGACTGAATGGTCAAAGCAAGGTAGAGTGTTAAAAGTAGCCCTCTGGAGCATAAACAAAAGATAACAATAGTTCTGGAAGCAAAGACTGAAAGAAAAAATTGCTGAGTTGAGTTACAATTTACTGGTTAAGATTGTATATAGGATTGTATTTCCTGTGAGCTGCCGTGAGTGAGTAGGCAACAATATAAATTTTCCAAATAAAATAGAATAAATATAAAATGTTTAAAAGTTTATAAAAGAAGATATATAAGAAACGTGTTAGGGTTTGAAGAACTCATGAACATTTTTTTCCAAGTCTTGGAGTTGATAAAGTTGATTTGAAATTAATTTTATGTGCCATGGATGCAACACATGACAATATTTTATATTCTTTTGCAGTTTTGGAACGGTGTAGATTTGTAACTAAATTGCATTCACATGTCACTTATTTATTATGTTCAGATTGGACTCTTGGGATGCATATTTTGTGTTCCATGATGAAGAAAACAATTGTCATGATTAGTTATTGAGGAATATTTTTTGCCACAACAGCTCTTTTTGTTCAGTGAATAGAGAACATTTGGATATTTTCTCTGCAAATTAAATGTGTATCTTGGAGAGATATGGAGGCTTAATGGAATGCCATGAATTTACATGCATTTTAGAATAAGCCCTATGATTCACTGAACTGACCCGTGATAATGGGCAAACATGTGATCATTCTCCTCAAAGATAAGGAAAAATAAAAATACTCGCTTGGTTCTACGGAAAATCAGAATCAATGGCTGGTTTTATAGATGTCACCTGCAGGATCTAGAGATGTTACCATTTTCCTGGGCAACCTGCTAAATCTTTTTCACTCTGCCTTTCCTCTTGGTTAGGTCTCCCAGTACTGAAACATGTCCTTACTCCACGGGTGAAGGCCACTCACGTTGCTATTGATTCAATGAAGAGCTACTTAGATGCAGTTTATGATATTACAGTAGCCTATGAAGGTACTATAGACCATAAAGGACAAAGGAAATTGGCACCATCCATGACCGGTGAGTAGGTGTCATTGAATTACTTTTAAAAAGCCTTCTCTTGCCTGATTCAAACTGGGAGAATCCACATCCTTCGTGGAATTTCTACAACATTCAACACAATGTTCTCCAAATGGTATATGGTTGGGCTCAGGGTTTTGTTTGACTTCTAAATTTCCAATTAATGGCTTATTTCCATTTTAGGTTGTCTTTCTACTGGCCGGCAAATACATTAATCTAGCATTTTACTTGATTTGTTGCTGCCCTGGATTTTAAACTGGAGAGGAGAGTTCTTTGTTTGTTCTTTCTTTTTTATACATGTTTTTATATTATATTTTAATTATATAGTTACATCATTTATATTTTGTTAGCATAGACTTAACATTAAGAATAGCAGTTTACTTTTGAGTGTGTAAAGGCAGACATAATTTGTGACTTCCGTGATCTGTCTCTCCTAACAGGGCAAGAGTGAGGTCTTACCTCTTATATACACCACATGTGAGGCCAAATGTGTTTCAAATGGATTTAAGGAGGGGAAGGGCAGAAATAAAAAATGAAAATAGAACATTTCATCCACACAGAACAGGCACCCTCATTGATTGACTATGTGCCAACAGTTCAGTGTCAACACTTAGCGACCACATAGATGGGTATTCTCAGGTTTTCCCGCCATGTATCCATCACTGCTATAATCGAGTCCACCCACCTTATTGCTGCTTATCTTCTTTTTTCCCCTTTCCTTCCACCTTTCCCAGCATTAGAGCCTCCTCCAGAGAATTAGTTCTTCCCAGAATTTGTCCCAAATGGGATAATTTGAATCTGGCCATGTTTTCCTTGAGTGAGATTTGTTCTGTGATCCATTTTGTTTGTTTTCTGTGCCATTCATAGTATTCTCAGGAGCCTACTCCACCATAAGATATGAAAAACATCAATGTTGTTTCTATCCTGCTTCTTCAAAATACAACTTTCACTTCCATAGAGTATCACAGAGAAAATCATTATCTGCAACACCTCTGATCTCTGACATCTGAATGTATTTTACAAGTTTTCATTTCTATTCAACCAAGTCTTGTCTATGGCATATTTCTTTATTGCTACTTCCTTTATCAATGGTCAATCCAAAAGCCATCCACCACTTCACTGTCTTCTTTTGTAGCTCTAAGGCTGATTCTATACCTATTGTTATTTGATCTTTATATGTAGTCTTATTCCCTTGTTGTCATCAGGCTGCTTGATTTCACTGTTAGAGCTTGCAGTTCATTGGCAATCTCAGCACTCAGAGTATAATATCATCAGCACAACACACATTATTGATGTTTCTTCCCCAAACCATTCTACTTTCCTCTGCCCAGAGAGTCCAAGTACATTTTCCTCCTTGATATTTCTAACATTGGCATTCCAGTCTACAATGACAAGCTGCACATCAATTTCAATTTCAGATTTAATGTCCTACCCATTTCAAATTTAATGTGATCATTAAACTCACAAACATTCTCATTGGTATCATTGGTTGGAGCACAGGTTAAAATAATAAAAATAATATATTGATCAGATTAAAGAGTTGTCTGCAAAATCTAATTGATGTAATTGGTCAGTGATTGTATTGTAGCCAAGTATTGTTCTTATTGTTTCTGACTGTGAAAATGCTGCTTTTCCTTCTTTGTTTTTCATGTCCTGAATAATACAGTGTAGAATCTTCTGAGAATGTTCAATTCGTATCCATTTGAATTTGCTGATACTTAATATGTCAAAGTTATTCCATTCATTTCCTATATCACTGGGTTGAACTTTTGTGTATTTATATCTCTTACATAAGCATCTATATTTATCCTTAATAATTGGGGATTTGCTACCAACTTTGGAAAGGGGACCTCAGAGTGCTGGGGCTGGAAGGGTACAATAGAAAGCTGGAGAGTTGCATATTTGCTGTGGGCCTACCCAGGCTACATGTCCCTCCTTAACCACAGATGGACAATAAAGTCTTGTTTTATGACTGAATAATGCCCAGAGCAGCACATCAAGTAATAGCCATCCTTGTTCTGAGTGTGTTGGGGGAAGATCGGGAATGGATTTATGATCTTAAGAAGCATGCAATGAGGAGCTGGTTTATTTCTATGTGTGTGTATGTATATCTTCAATTTTTCCCCTCAGAAAATGCTATTTTCTTTACTTTTCAATATGCTCTTAGGATAGCATTGTATCCTGTTTTATTGTTTTTATTAATAATGGCTTAAAAACATTTATTTATGTCTACAGTTTTGAGAAAATAAGGCTTCGGCACATACTTCTCAGTATACATAACTTTGCATTTAACTTTTATAGAAAAATTGTCATTTTTCTGTTGGGTTTCTTTAATCGTAATCTTAAAGATAATGTTCTAAAAACAGATACATTTTAAGTGGAATCTAGGGATTTATTTGAAACAAGACATAGATGTTTTCATTTCATATCAGAATATACAGGTAAAAAATAAAATAGGATACATTCATATGAATCATCTATTTATCTATCTGGCCACTTCTATTTAATAGATAAAGTGTAAGAAAATGCTATATTATTTTGTATCTTTCAAGAAGGAATATATTTCATATTGTTTTTGTTCTTAACTAAACTAAATTAAACCAACAGTCTGTTTTGTCATTTCCATTCAATGAGGCCTGTGAGTATTTGCAATACTGTAAAGAGTCACATGGGAATGTGAGAAATTATTTTTCTTCAATATTATCAATGTTTAATATAAAATGTTAGCAATTAATACCATGATTCCCCGAAAATAAAACCTACTCAGAAAGTAAGTCCTAGCTTGGTTTTTACACATGCGCCCAATATAAGCCCTACCCCCAAAATAAGTCCTCATTAAGACTCCACCAACTCCAAAAAATTAAGCTAGTGTGGGGGTGGGAGCGGTGGAGCTGCTCTACTAACCTTTGGATAATTGCCCATTTCTTCTGCTGCAGCCAGAAAGGATTTCCTGAAGGCCTCTGTAGCCAATAACAGTGCTCTATATCAACCCAGAGCTCTGTTATCAGTTGCAGAGTCCATCAGGAAAGCCTTGCTGTCCTTCCTGACGGCTTCTGATAGCGAAAAAGAGGCTGGGGGCGATGCATGCAAGTGAGGTGAGTCAGTGGATGACATCCCTTCCCCCCCCCCCCCAAAAAAAAATAGACCTGGTGTCTTTTTTGTTGGAGAAAATATAAGACATATAAGGGTCTTATTTTGGGGGAAACATGTTATATTTAAACATATTCTAAAAAAATCATAGATCTTGTTACACAATTTTTAAAATTTATTTTGAAAGAAATACATGCAGCCTTTTAGAATAAAATATTTGCTAGGGTGGCTTTAAAAAGAGTTTAAAATCAGAGTCTAAAAATCCAGATTTGAAACCTGGATCAGTTTTAAAGGTTGTTAAATAAGTTAGCCTTTAATTTTACAAATAACTGAAATTAATCATGTTATAACGAAAGTATTTATAATGTCCTTCTGGATTATAGACTTTCTTTGTAAGGAGTGCCCAAGACTTCATATCTATTTTGAACGAATTGAACTAGAAGACATTCCAAAAGAACAAATATTTATGAGAAGATGGCTTCATGAACGTTTTGAAGTCAAGGACAAGTAAGTGGTAAAAGGCCTGGCTCTGTATCTGGAGCATTTGATTTATTTTTAGAAATAAAGAGCAACTATATTACTGGGTATTAATAATAAATGTTGCTATCTTAACATTTTACAGAATTGTGGTGTATAAGTTATATGCTATATTACACATGGGAAGATTTGAGTGTGGAGAGTAGAGTAAGGTAATGAGATCGGTGGCTATAAGAGTGGGAAATATCACTCAAACTAATGTTGTGGTACTGTGTGATTGTAACTATAAATCAATATTGATGTGAATATTCTTTACTTACAGGGCAAAAAAAAACAAACCCTGGACCAATTTGAATCAGTATATCCACATCTATAAAACAAAACAATATTTTTTTATAGATGTGGATATACTGATTCAAATTTGACTAGGTTTTTTTTGCCTGAAAGTAAAGGTTATTCACACCCATATGGATTCAATAGCAGGCTAGCCTTTTTATGCAATAAGTTAATTGATTTTGTCTTGAGTGCTGTGCATATTTAGTTAGTTGTGACTTATCACAAATAAACTTGGGTTTATTTGGTACAATAAATGCACCCATATAGCTTCGCTTAAGCTCCAGTCATTTTCATTTGAGTCGCTTTAATTATTTATATTTACTTAAGGAAAACAGAGCTGTGCAAAGCATTCAGAATTGGTCCTTCACAAAGCACATCAGTATGAACAAAGGGCTGTCTTTGACGAGTAAAACAGCTGCATCCTTTGTGAGACTTAGGCAGCTACTTCAAAAGGACATGAACACTTCCATTGGAATTGCTAACAAAATCTGCACAGAGATATTAAGAGAGCTGGCAATATTCCTTCCAGGGGTTGTGAACTGCTTGAACATTTCAGAGAGAGATGCTGCATATGTGCTAAATTGCTTTGCATAGCACCTCTTTTAATGCTTTGTACAGCCCTGAAAATAAGTCTGGCCAGATTACACACTGTTGGAAAAATTTGTGCTATTTGCAGATGAAGCTTAAAAAGTTCAGTCCTTGACACATGAAAGAAAGAATTTCAGCCCAAAAGTCATGGTGCTTGGAGGAAAGTATTTGTGATAAATTATCAGAGATAATCAGAGAATTGTATAAAAGCTTTTAACCAAAAGGATATGATAAATTAATCTCATTTTTAAACTTTTTCCTTGTTCCTAGGTTGCTAATAGAATTTTATGATGCAAAAGATTCTAAAAGAAGAAATAGGTTCCCTGGGAAAAGTGTTCATTCCAAACTAAGTCTCCAGAAAACAGTGCCGTCCTTATTATTTTTAAGTGGCTTGACTGCCAGCATGCTACTGACAGAGTCTGGAAGGAAACTTTACATCAAAACATGGATATATGGGAGCTTATTAGGCTGTCTTTGGGTCAGTATTAAAGCATAAAAACTGCACTTTCATTCAGTGGCTTTTCTCTCTTGCTTTGCACATAGCATCAAATTCTTTCTTAAATTTATATTTAACATTTAAATAAATTCTTATCAGTTGAATATTGTATCAACACACTCCGTTAATCTATTTTTGTTGTGGTGAATTATGACAAAAAGGCAGGAGTGGGATTCTACCGGTTCAGACAGGTTCAAGTGAACCGGATGTTAAAGTTACACCTGGTTCAATGAACCAATATTTTAACTGACCAGCTTGCCCCGCCCACCTCGCCTCTCCCCTCCCAGGAGTCTCCATGCGGCCCATTTTTGATGGAGGCAAGTGCAGGGTCTTCATGGAGGCTCTGGGAGGGAGAAAAATGGGACTTCCAGAAGTCCGGAAACAAAACCGGCAGTCGCAAAACAGGCCTGTTTCCAGCTTCCGACTTCCGGTGGGCCTCCAGAGTCTGGGGGAGGCTGTTTTTGCCCTCCCAGAGGCTCGGGGGAAGCCTCTGGACCCTTGGGAGGGCAAAAACTGCCTCCCCCGGGCTCTCGAGGCCCACCGGCAGCTGGAAATAGGAAGTTCCAGTAGGCCATGCCCACCCAACAACCAGGCAGTGCACCGGTTGCTGGGATTTTTTAATCCCACCCCTGCAAAAAAGGTAAATTATGTTTCTGATTTTGGGGAAAAACAGAGGAGATAGTAAAGGCTTAGCATATTCTACCATGAATATATATCTACCTACATATAACATGTATGTGTTTATACTGGTTCAAAGAGAGCAGTGAGTGGATTTTCTAGCATTATTTTAGATGAATGTGTTTATTTCTGGCAAGGTTTTCTGCTTTTTAGTTTATTACAAAAGCTCTTACATCATAAACTTAAAAACCAAACTGGTTTCTACTGATACGTTTTTCTCTATTTGAATCTAGATATGTTTTTTCAGTTTTGAAAAGTTGCTCTAGTACAGGTTATTAAAAAAAAAAACAGGTGAAAAACTCTTTATGGAAAGATGAGTTTAATAAGTGAATGAAATTTTGATCCTGTTATGTGGCTAGTTAACTTCAGTTTTATATATATATATATATTTTATCCAAAAAGTATAGTTTTTATTTAAACACCTTGAATTTGTACATGAGTAATTATATATTCAAAATAGATAATGCACTAACTGAGGATCATTGTTATAAGTTTGCCAAATTTCTACAACCCTTCAGCTAAACTGCCAGTTAAGAAACACCAGAAAAGTTCATGGATATTCCAAGTTCCTGTTTAGCCAGGCTGCTTCAGGTACATTGACTTGCCTATACAGGTCTCTTCACGTTAAGGAGACAAACACGCAATCCATTTTGGGAATATACCAGCTGTGAAACAACAAATAGAGATGGACAATATTAATGGTGGAATGGGAATAAACTGAAGTAAGCAATGCTGCTGTGCAATGAAAAGTACATTTTATGGAAATGAGGAATATTTGTATGTTCTTGCCAAAATATAAAATATGTGCCTTCATTCGACATGGTCCTGAATTGCAGTCTAATTATTACTATTCAGTCTTACTTTTGGATACTTTGAAAGTTTTTGTCCTTGATGTGTGCTTCTGATGAACAGGAGATTGAGATTGGGTTTTTGAGCTCTGTGGTTTGGAATGTGAAAAAGACGAGAACTTCTGGTCACTGTTTGGAGACCTACCAGTATACAGTTTCATAAAATTTAGGCATCTGTCTATTCTGTATCTAGTAGGAAAAGGGATGCTATTTTATACTTCCTGTTTTATATATAACAAAGGAAAAATGTCATGATTCCAATATTAGAATAAAAAACACGAAAGGCTTTTTGAAATCTTCCTGAACTTCCGGTTTTTTGACCTTGCTAAACCTCAAAGTGTTTGATACAAAAAGTTCTTAAATGATCAGGTTTGAGGTGTTTTTTTTAAATAATATTAAACATATTTTACTCCTGTATGTAAAGAAAAACTAATTGTTCTTTATATTCATCCTAAAATTATTTATTATGTATTTATTATTCTGTAGATGATCATTTTCATCTGCTTCACTGTTTGACTTTTTGTTTTCAGATTAATGGAAAAATCTAGTAACAAATTTTATGGGAGGAAAGTTTTGAATATTTAGAGTGATATATTGTGCCATGTCAAAGCAAGCACATTTCAGAAGGCTACATACTTGTCATTGGCTGTGTTTAGATTAATATTCTTCTCTTCAGCTGTTTTGGTTTAATAAGGCAGAACAGTTAGTTGCAAATTTAAAATTATAAACTTCAGGTCGAAAAGTCTCAGGAGCCAGTTCACTTTAGCCTCTTGCAATGATCTGCCCAGAATTTCTTCAGTTCCTTTGACTGAAACAAATTTAGAAGCATATTTGGAAAGTCAATTATAAATGGAGTGAAAGTAGTCTTGTTTAATTTTATTATTTCAGTTTATTCAGTAGCTAGTTTTTATTTTAGTTGAAGAAAATGGATGCATGCACATGGAGGTTTAGGAAACAATTGTGTGGTGGAATCCTCTTCAGAAATTTGTCAGGTTCTGAGAGGGCAGAGCTGGTGTTGCGGCGGTACGACAATCCTCCAAGACGCCGTCGATATCTCCACTGCTAGATGGTCCTGACGGACCTAAATTGTCCCGTAGAGATGGTGATTGATTAGGGCATGTCCTGTCGATCCCAGGGACATCGCAAAGTCCCTGGTTGATCCAGGAAAAGCCCTTTTGCCGGTGGCAGAGAGGCAGCCATTCAAGCTACTGAAGCTGGGACAGCTCTGGAACGGAAGAGATCGAAAGAAAGTGTGTCAGTTTGGTTAGATGAACTTTTACTTATTATTGCTTGAAGAGAACACCCTGAAAGATTTAAAGTGAAATTAAAAGTGAAGTGAAAAGAGTTTAAGCGGCGAAATTAAGCTAGTTGAAATGAAAGGTTTTTTTCCCCTTTTTATTGGCACTTTGAATTTGGTAAAGCTACTGAATTTTAAACTGGACTGGTTTCTTTTAAATTTTCCATCTTTGTTTTTATTTTTTTTTAACAATTTTTTGAAAGTCTGTTTTGATTAAGACTCTTTTTTTGTATTTGAGTTTTATTTTTTTAAAAAAAAGGAAGGATTTCATTTTCTCTTTTTGTTCCTGGTTTTGGATACATGACGGGGGAGTGAAAGTGAAGGGGAAAAAAGTAGCACTGCCATCTAGAGGCTTGGATATATTGTTTCTTTCTTTCCTCTGTTTATGTACTTGTGCTATACTCAAGGATTCTGAGCTTTGCACTGGAAAAGATAGTGGGATGAGCATGGCAGATTGTTTATGCAGGTGCCCATCTGTGAAACTATAAATAATTAGAGCTTTGAGTTGAAGTTGAAAGAAAGAAGATTGAAGTGACCTTGAAAATACTGAAACTACAAACATTGAGTTGATTTATTAAAGAGCCTTGGATACTCAGTGGCACTGGCTGGCTTAACTTTAGGTTATTTTTCTTCTCCTTCTTTACTCCCCCCCCCCCCACAGCTGGATTTTTAGATTTAGACTTCAACCTTCTATTCCAGAAACTAGAACGTAAATTTTTTACTTTTTTTTTTATCCTCGTCCTTTTCTCTCTTTTATTAAGAGAAATAATTGGATTCAGGTACATAAGTGCCTGAAGATTTTTCTTTTTCCCTTTTTATTTTTTGGAGTGGCAATTGCCTGCCTGCGCTCCTTTTTTTCTTTTTCCTTTTTTCTTTTCTCTTTTTTCTCTCTTCCTCTCTACAGGTAAGCACTACAAGATGAGCAGAAAGACAACAGCCCCAGCTTCCTCAATACCAATGTGGTCAATACAGACAATCTTACAACAGGAGAAAGAGAAGGAAGTGACATTAAAGATGATTATGCAAGGAATTCAGAAGATTGAAAAGAGAATGGAGAATATTGAGCAAAGAACTGAAAAGATAGATGAGAAAGTAGAAAATATTCAACAGATGATGATGAAATATGAAGATAGATTTAAAAAAATTGAAGAAGATACACAAAGGGACAAGAAAATTGGAGATATTGATACTCGATTGAGCGATGTCGAGAAGGCCAGGTGCGAACCATTAGGATGGGAAATTGATAGAGCAGAATTCTACTTAAGATTTCAAAATGTAGAAGAAGGAAAAGGTGAAAATCTTGCTGAAATAATGACAGAAATACTGGCAGAAGTGTTAGAGATAATCAAAGAGAAGATGATGGATGGGATGGATGAAGTGTTCCGTGTCTATACATGAGAAGTTCATATCAGATTCACTAAAAAAAATTATCGACACAGATACTGCAGGTGACAAGAGAGAAAACTTGAAAGTATGAAGATAAATTGTGGTGCTGAAACAGGTACCAAGAAGAGTAAGAGAGATGAGAAGAGAATACTTATTTTTGACCAAAGAGTTACTTAAAAGAGAAGTAAACTACAGATGGCTGATGCCAGAAGGCTTCTTGTTCACCTGGCAGGAACAAAGACATAGAATTGACACAGTTGCAAAAGCTGAGCTATTCTACTTAGAATATTTCAAAGAAAAGGAGGATGAAGCAAGAAAGGAAGAGTCATTAATTGAATTTCAAGAGGAATGTATAGCAGTAATTGAAAAATAAAAAGAAGGAGGTGCAGTAGGTGGTGTACCCAGAGAGCAACGAGAATTAAGACCTACTAGAGCAATAAAACCCCTTCACAAAGCCTAACATGGATGAAAGAAAATTGATTACGATTAACATAAATGGACTTAATTTGGCTACTAAAACAAGGAAAGTATTTCATAAATTAGAGAAATTAAAATTTGATATAATTTGCTTACAAGAAGTACATATTAAAAAACAACATGAATATATACTGAAGCCCCCAAAAATAGGGAAATTATTTACATCACTGGCACAAACTAAAAAAAGATGTGTTGTTTTATATATTAAAGATACAATTTCAGCAGAATTAATTTACTCAGGTGATGAAGGAAGGATTTTGATGGTGGAAATAATGGACAATAATGTTAAAACATTTTTTATTATAATCTATGCTCCGAATGATAACCAAGAAGAATTTTGCAGGAAATTACATATGAAAATAATTGAATTGGACTATGTTAATATTTGTATGATGGGAGATCTTAATGGAATAGTTAA